GGGATTTGACCACTGCATACATCCGTTTGTCAAAACTCAAGCCATCATCCAGAATAACACCCAGAGTTTTCACCCAGGGCTTTATAGAAACACTTAATTTTTCTAGATTAACCATTGGGGCTCTGGAAGAGTTTGACAGGCCGAACAAAATCATTTCACTCTTACTCTCAATAAAATCTAGAAAGTTCAAAGATAACCAGTCTTTCACGTCCGGCAAGCAGAGCATAAGGGTCTCTAGCCCTGTTGAGCTTAGGTAGATTTGGGTGTCATCCGCATAACAGTGAAAAGACAGACCATGTTTTCCTAAAAATAAAGCCCAGAGGAAGCATATATAGTCACAATGGACTTACAAAAATACAAGATATATCCAAGTGCAGCAATTTAAGTTCTCATAAAAAATAAGGGGACAGGCCAGGTACAAAAAAATCCAACAGAGTCAAAAAAAAAGTACAAAACAATAAACAAAAGTGAACTAAACAATGCTTAAACAGGAATTTAAAAACATAATCATAACATGAAACAACGTGAACAAACAAACAAACCAAAACGAGGAGTCAGGGAACAGACTAGAACCAGATAAAAGCCAGACAAGACAGAACAGACTCGTGTAAACAGAATGCACAAGAGAACAGCAAAAATCCAGACAAACACAACACAACACAACAGAGCTTATAAAGACAACACTAATTAGACAATGACAGACAGCAGGAAACAATTAGTGATCACGTGAACAACAACAAAATATGAACAAAACATAACTAGAAGACCACACGAGAGCAGCAGACTTGACATATATCAGGAGAAAAGAACCGGGGCTAAAATAGATCCCTGAGGAACACCACATGACCAATGCTGCCTCAGATGAGTGAGTGTCTCCAATAGTGACTTTAAAACTGCCATTGAACAAATAGGATTTAAACCAATACAGTATATTTCTCAATGCAACTTCAAAATACAGTAAGATACTGGATAACAGTAAAGCTCAGCTCATATTACAGTTCAGCTGGCCAGTAACAGTAAATCAATGACAGCAAAAATGCTATATTTACATGTACAGCACTATTAACCTTGTTGTGTTTGTATTTACAGCATTGCCTAAAATATACAGTAATATGTACAGTAACAATTTTTACAGTGCAACTTCAAAATACAGTCACATAACTGTCCTACAGCAAAAATCAGTTCATTTTACAGTTAATACGGTGTAATTTACACTGCTACAGTCATTAACCGTGCAGAAACTCTCCTGTCTGTGGGTTTCAGTTCATTCATTCATTTTCATTTCGGCTTTTCTCTTTATTATCCGGGGTCGCCACAGCGGAATGAACCACCAACTATTCCAGCATATGTTTTACCCAGCGGATGCCCTTCCAGCTGCAACCCATCACAGGGAAACATCCATACACACTCATACACATGTGGACAATTTAGCCAACCCAATTCCCCTATATTGCATGTGTTTGGACTGTAAGGGAAAGCAGAGCACCTGGAGGAAACCCACGTGAACGCAGGGAGAACATGCAAACTCCACACAGAAACACCAACTGACCCAGCTGGGACTCGAACTAGTGACTTTCTTGCTGTGAGGCGACAGCACTAACTCCTGCGCCACTGCGTTGCATTTTCATTAAGTGCTTCAGTCTGGTTTCAGAAGCACAGAGCCTCTGATTTTTCTCTGGTTGTTGTTATTGTGAAACTGCAGGACTCTCCATGATCACTCTCGGCCACTGAAAGACCCTTTCAGAGCTCATTTGTGTAAATTAGCTTTTGTTATTATGCTAATTCAGTTTCAGTGTCAGTGTGTTCCTCCAGTGAGAGCATGCAGGTGTGTGTGTGTTCTTTACACTGTTGATGCTGTCTGGACTGCTGTGATGGTCTTGAATGTTAAATTACACTCATTTGCTCTTGAGTGTTTCGATTCTCAGCTGTGATTATTAAAGCACACTGAACTGAGCTGAACTGAACTGAACTGAGCTGAACTGAACTGAACTGAGCTGAGCTGAGCTGAACTGAGCTGAGCTGAGCTGAGCTGAGCTGAACTGAGCTGAGCTGAGCTGAGCTGAACTGAGCTGAGCTGAGCTGAACTGAACTGAGCTGAACTGAACTGAGCTGAACTGAGCTGAACTGAACTGAACTGAACTGAGCTGAACTGAACTGAGCTGAGCTGAACTGAGCTGAGCTGAACTGAACTGAGCTGAGCTGAGCTGAACTGAGCTGAGCTGAGCTGAACTGAACTGAGCTGAACTGAACTGAGCTGAACTGAGCTGAACTGAACTGAACTGAACTGAACTGAGCTGAACTGAACTGAGCTGAGCTGAACTGAACTGAGCTGAGCTGAGCTGAACTGAACTGAGCTGAGCTGAACTGAGCTGAACTGAACTGAACTGAACTGAAGTTAAACTCTGAAAACTGAACTGCACTGTTTACATTCATATGATTTTACATGTGAAGCTGCTTTGACACAATCTACAGTGTAAAAGCGCTGTACAGATAAAGCTGAACTGAACTGAATCATGTCTGCCCACATGAAATTATTAATTTATAGTAACTATAAAGTGTTTTAGTACTATAAAGTGTTTGATATAATAGTATTTACAACACTTTGTTAATGATAACTTTATTATTAACTTTAGTGAACTGATAAACTGTAATAAATACTGCAGTATACTTTAGTTTCACTGCAGTAATGTTGTGCATTGCAGTATAATACACCTGTAGAAATAATAATCTGCCAATGGGGTCATCAAAATAATCTTATGTCATGAGGAAAAACGAGATGATTTTACTTGTTTTAGAGACAAAATCACTTTACTTTAAATCATTATTTCTGAAAACAACACAGTTTGTTTTGCTTGTCTAAAAATGCTTCAAGCGGCACGGTTGCGCAGTGGTCAGCACTGTGGCCTCACAGCATGAAGGTCGCTGGTCCGGCTGGGTCAGTTGGTGTTTCTGTGTGGAGTTTGCATGTTCTCCCCGTGTTGGCGTGGGTTTCCTCCGGGTGCTCAGGTTTCCCCCACAGTCCAAACACATGCGCTATAGGGGAACTGATCAAGTATGAGTGTGTGTGTGTATGTGAGTGAATGAGTGTGTATGGGTGTTTCCCAGTGATGGGTTGCAGCTGGAAGGGCATCCGCTGCATAAAACATATGCTGGAATAGTTGGCGGTTCGTTCCGCTGTGGTGACCCCAGATTAATAATTGCTTTAAATAAGAAAAGCATTTTTGCTGAGTGTGCTGCTGTGAACTCCAAAAACAAAACAACACATATAATTATTATACTTATTATTTATAATTAATACTAATATAGCGCATGTAATGTGTTTTGTCATACACGCAAAGCACTTATCTCATGAATATCTGCGTTGTGTACATCCTCAAGAGTTGTTCATACACTCAAAAACATATTATTAATTTTTTTGCTCGTTCAAAACACATATTTAAAATGAGCTGAAACAAAACAATTCTTGAGATTTCATTGGGACAACTTAATTTTTTATGTTCCACTTGTTAAAAGAGTTAAGTTAACTTAATCGATTTGTGTTGGGACAACATGAATGAATTGTGTGGAGCTCTGCATTTTCACAGTGCACTATAATATTCTGTCATTATTTAGCGATTCATCATGCTGTTTCATTCATTTGTTGAACAAAACGGAAGATTTACTGAAGAATCATTGAAACAATAGCAGTGTTTCTCTCCTGCAAGTGATGTCAATGGTTGCTTTGCTTTTAAAAAGTGAGGAAACTGTCTTTTGGATGTGGAGCTGTGCCTTAAATACTGTGTGTAATTTTCCTCTGTGGTCACAAGGTGGCGCTCGACATCTAAAAACCACTGACAGTGTGACAGCATATGCGACTCATTTTAACGCAGATATTTTCGTTCCACTTTTTAATGTTTGGTGTAAAAGACATCAGAGAAGACAGACACAACTGTCACAGTAGCTTCATATTTATAATAACTGAGAGTGAAAACTGTAAATTAATATTATATTGTTAAACTGAAAGTTAAAAAGTAATTTAAATAAATAAATTCATTTAAAAAGAACTATATTTCTAACATTAAAGTAAATATTCAATAGATTAAATAAAAGTTTTTAAAATGTTTTAAATTCCTGAATCGTCAGTAATTGCTTACAAATGTGACAAATTCAGCTGGGTTTCTCCAATAATGCAAATACTATAATACTGTATAGTACATATTGTAATGTTGTGCATCTGTTGTGGTGATACTATGGTAACACAACACCTACTGTAATGTAAACAAAAGACCCAGTCATGCAGTTTACTTTAACTATATGGTATATTATACTACAATACACCACCGTTTACTGTAGTACAGTCTAAAGTATACTACAGTATTCGTTATAGTTTATTAGTTATTATAGTTATATAGTTTATTGGTTATTATTATAGTTATCATTATAGTTTATTAGTTATAATTAACTATAGTGAATAGTACAGTATTGATTGGCAAGGTGTTGTGAACACTAAAATATAACACACTTCACTGTAGTGTTTACTACTGTATTTCTCAATCGCGTTGAGAGCTGTTATTTTTACTCTTTATTATTATTTTTACTGAAAAACACACACAGTGCCCCCTAAATCCGTAACACAAGATGATGGACCACATATTAAAGTTCTGTTGAAAGTACTCAAAACTCTACACTCCCCCATCTGACAAAGAGTGAATGTCCATAAACATTAAATAAAAGGCATGCTAAATATGAATGAGTTGTTATTTACAATCACAAGACGGAACTGGCGGGGACAAACAATACAGTAAGCTATACATGAACAGCGAAATACATAAATAAATCACAAAGCTATGAATAAAAAAAAATCAGAGGGCTTTTATTTTGTAATAGCTAATCACTTCCGGCACTGACGCGCTATGCAGATCTATACTACATATGCTACCCCAGAGTGGATGTTGCAGATTGTCTACAGATCAGCGGGTGCAGGAGTCTCGCGGAGACGCTGATGATGCACTGTGCTGTAGGAGAGACGCCGAGCGAGCAGTAGTGCGTCCGGAAGCACAACGCGGGGAACAGCGAGAAAACGTCCGCGTTTCGGGCTGAAAAACGCCATAAAGTGGATTCCCTCGATCAGAGAGTGTGTCCAGCTCCTCAGGCTACAGTTTCCGATACTTTCCCACACTTTATAACGGAACTCGTGTTTGTGGAGATCGAGAATCGACTTCACTGAAGGGCACGAGTTGAGCTCTGACTGACTTCAGAGAGAAGTGTTCAATATCTGATTGTAAGCTCTAGGTGAGTAGATACTCGAGGCATGTTCCCTAAAGCTCCAGGAAGCAGGTAGAGGGCCGGGGGTGAGTGTTTGCTGGACATTCTCTACAGCGGGAGTCTGAGCCACAGGTGTCCGCCTCAGGGCTCCAGCATGCCGGACTCCACCGGGAACTTCAGCCTCCTGCAGCGGACCTGCTCTCTGGTGGTGCTGCTGTGCTTCTTACACATCTTTGTCACCGTCATTTACTACATGAGGAACTCGGACTCTCGGCCAGCTTTCGCCCAGAACCAGCAGCAGAGACCGACGATACACAGGAAACTGGCGGAGCAGAGGGGCACCACTGAGGACAGCAGACCCGCGGCCAACGCCTCGAGCAACGGCCAGGAGCTGCAGATCTGCCCAGAGGAGCCGCCGCGCCTGGGTCAGTGTAATCAGATATTTAATATTAAGCTCATTTATGAAGGATCATGAACACTGAAGACTGGGGTAATGATGCTGAACATCCAGCTTTACATCTTACACAACTATAAACGACACTAATGTCACAAACTTTGAAAAATATTAATGGTAAATGAAGTAAAAAGGGGAAATAACTGAACTATATGATGCTTGTATCAGGCACGTCAACAGTCCTTAAGTCCAAAAGGCAATAGATTAGAAAAAAGAAATCTTATTTTCTCTCAATCTGTATTTCTATAGCGCTTTATACAGTGTAGATTGTGTTAAATCTGAAAATAATAATAATAAAATTACATCATAATATATCAGATTATTATCAGGCTGGTATTAGAGCAGTGGTGAATGCTGGAATCAGATAAAACGTTTCCCTGAAAAAATCCTGGTTTATAAGCTGCTTTAAAATCATTTATTTACATTATGACATTAAAATAAACAAGTGAAATATATGTTTTCAGATCTAATTCATTTTAATTCAGACTAAAAATCTGCATGAGGGGTCCAGCATGTAGTCTTTAAAACACTATGAATGTGTGTACAGTACACCTCAATCTTTAAGTTTTTAATTGTAGACCAGCAGATCTGATCATTCCGGTTTCTCTCAAACTTGTAGAATCTGTTGCGTTTCAGGGCCTCATACTCATCTGATGCTCTGCTGTTCAGAGCTAGTAAACAATGGTGGAAACCAGTCTCGCTTTTCAGATGAGAGCAATCTGCACTCAACACTTAATTTTTATAATTATACATGTTTAATAATTTACCAGGAATGAGTTTTCTCTCTTTCAGTAAAGTTGACTGAATGCTTTTTCTATTGAGCATACGTTTAGGAATGTAAAAGTTGTTGGGTAAGTTACCGTAAATAAAGTAAATAATTACAACATTAGCGTTGTATTAAACTACTTGTATAATTATTTTGTCTGAAAAGCATTTTAAATAGTGGATAAGGAATTTAATGCTATTAAATCCCAATAAATGTTGACTTACACAAGAGAATATTTAAACATTTTTTAGGTTTAATTAGAATTTTTAGCGACACGGGGGCTTTCGGATTTAGAGTTGTTTTTTAATTAATAAAAACATATTTCAAAAATACCATATTGGCATTAGGGATGCAACGATTAACCGATTTTACTATTAACCAGCTTAAATTCGTCACGGTTAACTAATCTTGAAGTCTTCTCAACACTGTGTTTCTGCATGGAACAAAACTGCTGCAAGTTATGTCAACTGAGTGCTAGTTTGAAGTTCTGAGCTTGTACACCATGCACACTGGATTAACTATAGCTGAGGCTATTAAATAAGGGCCAGTCGCATATTGTGTCTTTTGCATGCGCAAGTTCGTTATTTCCAATGGAGGCGCGTGGCTTGCATATATAAAGCGTGCTTTCCAGTCGCACCTACTAGTTGAAAGAATGCCATGAGAGCCCTACACTGAGAAAAAAAATACAAAATGAAAAATACAAAACAATGTTGTTATATAGTTGATCAAAAGTGCCTTTCAGACAGAGGTTCAGCAGCCTTTGTTTGAATACATTTCTTCACTGTAAAAGGGAAATACTTAGCTATTATGTAACTTGATGATTAATATTAGATGAATACTACTTATTTATTTATTCATTCATTTATTGGTTTTAAATTTCATTTATTTTAAATCTTTTTCATATTTTAAAAGTATTCATTTATTTTAAATTCATTTATTAAAATTGTATTTATTTATATTATTTATTTATTTTCATTTCTTTTAATTAATTTATTTTAAAATTTATTTATTCATTTTTATTTATTTTTATTTATTTACATTTAATTTATTTATTAAAATTTATTTAAATTTATATTAATTTATTAATTTATTTATTTATTGTAATTTATTTTATTTTTTTGAAAATTAATACATTTTTATTTATTTTAGATTAATTAATTAATTAATTTAAATTTAATAAATTTATTTAAATGTTATTTTTTAATTTATTGACATTTATTTCCAGTGTAAAATTGTTGTTATTATTATTATTATTATTATTATTATTATTATTATTATTATTATTATTATGTGTATTTTTTAATTACATTTGTTTTAGTTTTTTAGAACAGTATCTCCAGCAGAAAAAGAAATCCAAAGATTTTCGTTTTAAATTGTAAAGAAATCTGTACTTTTGAAACAAATGAAGACAGCAGAAGAATTATATAGCCTGACCTGTTCACTGCTCAAATGTCAGAAATCTTTCAAAAAATAGAATATATTGTTTTTAAAGGGGAAAAAAGTGGTTGTATTTTACCCCGACATTTAAAAAGACTATATTTCAGAGCGGTGAGCACAATACCGTGATACTGTGACATTTTTACCTAAGGTTATGCCGTCAGAATCTTATACCGGCCCATGCCTACTTTATACACACACTGACGCCAACATTTGACCTTTTCACACTGATAACGATAGTCCTGTTTTCAGTCTGACGCTATGGTGATGCACAGCAGTCCGTAGCTCCGCCCTCTTCTGAAAAGAACAATCTCATTTGCATTTAAAGCGACAGTCACCAAAACGCCACAGTTAAGGTTGGTTTCAGAAAGTTAGAAAATATCTGTGTGCTATTTTTCAGCTCAAACACTCGTTATTCAGTAACTAACTGCAGACTAGTGTAAGTAGTCTCCCCAGCTGGACAGTGTGGGGTTAAACATGCCCAGGCGTGTTCTGGCCAGTTTCTCCTCTTCTTTGCTGGTTTTTCTTGTTATTATGAATCCACATATTTACCCAGTGCACTCTAATTCATCGCCCTTAGTGTTTCTGAGAAACTGGGCTTGTTCTAAATGATGATGTGACCTGTCGCTTTTGTGTTCCTTCATTCCACTTTTCAAAAACAAAAGCGTGTTTTTACAGCTGTCGTGACTCTGTAAACTGCGTTCTGTTGACAACACAGCCGTTTCACTGCAGTTTCATGAGAGTTAGGTGGTATTTTCACATTATCTACTGATGCAGATTAACTGACTTCCCTCAAGCTCTGTGTGTGTCGTAATGGAAAACTGGATGAGGAGTTTAGCGTGTGTGTGTGTGTGTGTGTGTGTGTGTGTGTGTGTGTGTGTGTGTATAGTGTGTTATTTTTCTGTGATCCTGTAATATAATACACCTGTGTGTGAATAATAATGAGATCTCCAAGGAGAAGACACAAGCTTACACTCCTTCTGTCAGCACGCATTCAGAATAACACATGGCTTTAGTAGGCCTGCATGATACTGAAAAAAATATACATTAAAATAAATGAGTTTTTCTGCGACATACACTAAAATATTTGTAGATAAGCAGTTTTCTGTATTTTGTGATTCATTTTACAATTTTTTCCCATTTATTTCTGCTTCTGAATTGCATTATGGACTCTTGAGCTTTCTTCCAACAACTTTTAACCTTGAAAAGTTTAATAAAGTGTCATTTTCTGATGTTTGACACACTTATTTCTCTAGATATTATTTATTATATTATTTCAAACACTAAAATGTCAATAATAGTCAATTTAATAAACTGTAGTGTTGAATTTTCACCATCAGAAGTGGACAGAGAAGAGATCAACATCCCATAATGCAGTTCACCATCACAAATAAACAAAATACAGAAGCTTTTCATTAACAGATATTATTTTTAGTGCAGTATTTTTCATACCATCAGACTCTAATATGGGCCGTGTGTGTGTGTGTGTTCTCCTGTAGTGGGTCCTCTGCGTGTGGAGTTCTCAGACCCGATCACGTTAGAAATGGTGCGGACAGAGAACAGTGTTCTGCAAGAGGGCGGACGCTTCAGACCCCCGGACTGCATAGCTCGGCAGAAGGTGGCCATGATCATCCCCTTCCGGAACCGAGACGAGCACCTGAAGTTCTGGCTCTATTACCTGCACCCCATCCTGCAGCGCCAACAGCTCGACTACGGCGTCTACGTCATTAACCAGGTGTGTGTCTGTGCGTGTGTTTTATTCTGAGTGTATGTGTGCGCAAATGTATTTTATTGTGCGTTTGTGCTTTATTCTGTGTGTGTGTGTGTGTGTGTGTGTTTTTGTGTTTGTCTGTTTTATTCTTTGTGTGTGTAAGTGTATTTTACTGTGTGTGTGTGTATATTTTTTATTGTGTGTGTGTGTTTGTATTTAATGTGTGTGTGTAGCCTATTTATAGCATATTTAAATGTCAGCAAGTAATTAAGCAAGTAGTTCTTTTACATTATGACTAAACAAACAATGAGTAAACATGAATTCATCATTCTTGTTGTCGTACTTCATGTTAAAGGGCGCCTATTCTGCCCCTTTTTTACAATGTAAAGTCTCTAGATTTGTGAATGTCTAGTTTGTGTGTGTGTGTGTGTGTGTGTTTGTGTGTTTCATTACACATCTCAATAGTAAATCTTAATTCAGTTTTAATTTTTCATTTAATGTGAATTTTGATTTTATTTCATTCAGTGAAAATGAATTTTGGCCAATAGTTTTAGTGTTCGTTCACTAAAAAAGCTGTGGTGTGTGTTGACTGCTGTAAATACTGATCTGTGACCTGGCGGGTCCAAAGACCTGCGTGACATATCTGCTGAAACACACAGATAAAAGGAGGACTTTAACTCAGAAACACTCCACTTAAAGCAGGAAGTCTTGTGAAGCCTTCATTTTTTAATAGTTGGACAATACACATTCAATAACTCGGTGATAATGATGATATTGTTATCATGAGAACTTAAATACTCTGAATTATTATTTATTATTTACACATTTGTCAGTGCCTTTATTGAATATTCATATTGTTATATTAGTGGTCGTTCATCACAGCAGCAAACAATGAAGACTTAATAAGCTTTTTATTTTCAAATAAACATTATTCGCATTAATCTGACCGTGGGCATGCTGGAATATTGATTGACAATACTCTATGCATAGGCCTGTTGTTGGTTAACACTGTACAGTAAGGCTCAGTTTGTTTACATTAGTTAATTTAACTAAACTCACATTAAAACCTACTAATGATGTTAGTTTATTACTTGTAGCTGATGTTCATCTATTGGTTAACAACTTCAACAAAATCTTAATTGTTTTATTAAATGTTAATATATGATAATTAATTTTTAAACTAACATTACCATAGTAGCTTTAATAAATCAGGTTATTTCTCACTCTTCATTTATCTATCTATCTATCTATCTGTCTGTCTATCTGTCTATCTGTCTGTCTGTCTGTCTGTCTGTCTGTCTGTCTGTCTGTCTGTCTGTCTGTCTGTCTATCAACTGTTTTATCCATCCATCCATCCATTTTTATTTATTTTTTTGCTCTTAAAATGTTGTTGCATGTATTTATTTGTAAATTTAATAGAATAATATATTTGCTATTATTTATTATGATTTGCTTTTGTAGTACATTTGGAATATAACCCATTGCACATTAATCCTGATAACTTTAAATACAAAAAGTACTATATACTAATAAGGGCACTTAGCAGGTAGAATGAAAATAAGTGAAGCGTGCAGTGGAATGAGGCTTTGACTATTGAAGTGACAGAGCTTAGTTTACAGTCTATAATTAAAGTAATATGATGTTATAACAGTTTATTCAATATTTTGAGAGTATGCAGCTAGTCTAAACATCACACCTCTGTGGATCGTCTCTAGTAATTAGCAGTGCTTCTTAATCCTCTGCTTTGTTTAGTTTGTTCTGTGGTCGACTCCTCTCTTGTTATCTGGAATGTGGAGCTGGGCGCGTCTGGGCATGAACATCGGATTTTTCTCAATCACTTTATCTCTCTGGCACTCTGGAGAAGTGTAGCCTAAAGCCACTTTTGTCACACATAATAGTACTATATTTTAAAATTTCTCAATTCAAGATTGTAATCCACATATCTGCTGAATGCTGGATTCTGATTGGCTGATGAGCACTTTATAGTGTTTGGTTATTGTCAGATCAAGCTACAGCTAAAGTAGTTCCAGCAGAGTGCATTACAGCTTCATATCACTCCGCTGAATGACTGGAGTTATTTCAGAGATAATTTCATTTAATGGAGCTTTTTAGTATTTCTGAGTTGTTATTTTTAAATATTGCATTCTGTTAATCAATATCTGTTAATTTATGAACATTTCCAGAATAGAGAACTATTAATAAATCACATTGTTTTGTGTAAAAGCCTGCAGGGAATGTTTATATGAGTATCAAAATCGGTAGATTATGTTTAAAGAAGTGCATAAAAGCACATTAAATAAGCAATAGGGTTGTAGGGGGACCAACAGTTTTAACCCAAAAATGAGCAGTCTGTCAGATGAAGAAGAGCCGTAGTGAGAGATTCAATTAAATACAGTTTACTGAAGATAGTTTACAGCTTCATCAGCAGAAGCCAGCTTAAACACCCACACAGAGTTTGTAGACCGCTCTGCTTACAATCTCAAAACAACAATAATACTCTCACATAATGTCATTAACTGCGCCATACATACAGCTGCTAAACCTTTTAACCTTTGGGATTTCTCTGCTGAATTATCTGCTGATCTGCATCCCAATCATCACATATACTGCAGAAGACCTACTGGAACCAGCATGAACCCAAGATTCTCACAGAAATCAGTCAAGTTTGGTGATGGAGACGTCATGGTTTGGGGGTCATTCAGTATGGGGGCGTGCAAGAGATCTGCAACATCAACAGCCTGAGGTATCAAGACATCTGTGCTGCCCATTACAATACAAACCACAGGAGAGGGACAATTCTCCAGCAGGATAGCGCTCCTGCTCATACTTCAGCCTCCACATCAAAGCTCCTGAAAGCAGAGAGTGCTCCAGGATTGGCCAGCCCAGTCACCAGACATCAACATTATTGAGCTGATGAAGGAGGAGGTGTTGAAGATGAACACAAAGACTCTTGATGAACTCTGGGATCCTGCTGAAGCTTTCTTCTTCATTCCAGATGACTTTATTAATCAGTGATGTGAGTCTGTCAGAGATGTATGGATGCAGTCCTCCAAGCTCATGATGGAGTCAGACACAATATTCATTCTGTCTCCACTGCAGCAGGACTTTATATTCTATACTGGACATTATTTCTGTTCAGTGATGAGACTTTAGTCTGAGCAGAGTCAGAGCGCACTGTCCTCATCAAATCAGTCAACATCAAGACATGATCAGATTTATTGAGCTCAAATCAGCAAAATCTAGAGGCCTTCACCTTTCATAGAGACACTTCTGACACCAGATCAACAACTAGAAGAGCAGATATTATCTGTGTTCATAAAACCTGGATAAGCAACAAGACTTCTGTCAGGCAGTGTAGATACCCTTAAACATTCAACTTTAATAATAAAGACATGACAAATTACACGTGTTACTCTATCCCGGAGCAGACATCCATCAGTAAACCCACACCATCAGTGTCTATAACTGGTGCTTTCAATAACGTTTGCTAAAATTAAATGTAAAAAAGTGATATGTCTGTTCAGCATAAGAGATATAGTTATGTCTGTTGAATGATTATTTCTGATTGGCTGAATAGAGAACTACTAATAAATCACCACTGATCCTTAAGTAAAATATTAAATTCCATAGTATTAAAATAAGAGCTTAAATAGCCTTAAAATGTATTCAATCTGTGTTTTTAAGGTAAAAAAAAAAAAACCTGTTTAGAAGATTTAGTTTTTGTTTTGACTGTGCTGGAAGTCTCTGTCTGTTTGTCACCCAGAATGAAATAAGCAGAAGCTGATAAAATAGACACTCGCTGGGATTTCACGTACACAAGAAGCATTTTCTAGACCAGCACAAATATAGTCTTGTTTTTGTAGAAATAATGAGTCAAAATAAAGTGAATATTTGTGCTTGTCTAGAAAATGCTTCCTGATTTAAGGATCTTTAGATATTTGGACTAGAAATGAGACTGAAACTCTAGATGGAGCATGCCTTGCAGTGTGTTGTTGTGTTTCAGTAAATAACCTTGAGATTTCAGACTGTGGTTCTTTAATCAGCTCTCGCAGAACAAACGCCTTTATCTAATGCATTTCAAGCAGTTATCATCAGCGGTTTGAGGAATTTTCCACATGAATAACGAGACTAATGTGTGTGTGATTGAGTGTGTGTGTGTGTGTGTGTTCTTTACACTAATGCTGATTCTCTTCTGTTTTCTTCAGTGTGTCATGATGGTTTCTCTAATTATTCTCTTGCTCTCTCTGCCATCCCTTGTCTTCTCCGCACCTTGCATTATTTTTTTCACCCTTCCATCCCTCATTCCTGCCCTTCTCCCTGTTTAAAGCTCTTTATGCGCTCAGGAAAAGGTGCGAGATCTCGATCTGTCTGCGCTTCGCTGCCTGCATCTGCTCAATGGTAAACTTCTTCATTTTCTGCTTCTCTCCCTCTTTCTCTTGGTTTTCCCACGGAGGGCAGTTCTGTGCCAAAAATAGCTGCGTTTGCCATTGTGAAAGTTCTGAAGTTCCGTTTTGGAGGATTGGCTTTGCATTTATCCTTTATCTAACCCTACTTAAGGGTCAGTTCACCCAAAAATTAAACTTTATTAACCCTTCCTAACCTTTATGAGTAATAATTTGCACTGACTATAACTTGCATGACGAATTCAGCTCAAAGAGAAATTTAAAGTCTTCACTACGTCAATTAGGTTGGGTTTTGTAGACAATTAAAAAATATATATTTTCTTCTTTTTAAAATAAAAGGTAAAAAGGTGCTAATAATATTGACCAAACAATATTAACAATTACATAATGTCAATTAAATTTGTGATTTTTTTTATTTTTTTTATTTATTTATTTTATTTTATAATTTTATTAAATTTTGCATCTCATAAATCATTAGAATCGGTATGTAGTTTGCATCCTAAAACTGTGGTTGGAAGTTCTATGATTTAATTGTTGTCTTCATTTTGCAGCAACCTTTGCATTTATGCTCAAGGTCAATGCAAATTTCAATAAACAAAATACACTGACTTTTACATACTG